ATACATTTTAAAAGTAACCTTCCCAACACTGGTTGTGACTTATTTTGTCATACATATGTCTGATAGCTGAAGGCAAGAGGAACTCAACAAAGTATCTCTGCTCGGTCACCCTTAATATTAAAGATTTACAGTAATAAAGAGAAGCAGTAAAAATCAGGGAGTAGCAAAGGGCACGAGATACTCTAAGACTCGGGGCTCGAGGATTGATTTGATTTAAAGCGAGTAAGGTTTAATTGTGCGTGCAGAGAGGAAACTGTAATGAGAGAGACGGCAGGAGAGAGGTAGCAACGCTGAACCGAGGAAGCGTTAAAGTAGAAGAGCTTTAACAGGGAGAGGGGGGAAGGGGAGCCAAGGGAGAGCATTCCTCACAAAGACGAATGGCAACTGGGAGTCATGTTGTGGAAATCTCCTCACGTACAGCGCTGTGCTGCAAGAGTTGCAGGGTCGGTGGACAGGTGACCTTGAAAATATAGGATTTTTCATGCAAGGGCAGACCAGCAATTTCTTTTTATTGCAAATCAAGGTGGGTCGAAAACGCAGCAAAATGCAAGGATGCGCAGGGAGCAAGCATCAATGTCAGCCAACAAACACTGTCTGTAAGCAAGAGTGTGGTTAGTTTTTAACAAATGACTCGGCTCATTGTGAAAATGTGGTGCACATTAGGATTAAACATTCCTCGCTCACCGTTGCTGTTGACACATTGGACCTGCACAATCATGGTGCCGGAGCCACACTGCTTCCCATCATCAGGAATACACGGACTCAGACTGATCAGCTGCCAGTCGTAACAAGTGGGCTCGTCACATGGCACCGCCTCCACAAGGTGTGGACAGTTTCCAGGACCTCCCGTTGGCTCGTTCGTAATCTGTCGTTTCCTCAGTTTGAAACCTGCAGTGCAAAGACAGTTATCACAACTGACAAACTTTTGTGTGTATAGCAGGCTTTAGTTTTTTCACACAACCACATACATAAGGGGAAAATAGTCCTAATCTTACTCCACTACATGTTAAAAGTTCAATTTTATTGCATTGTATTTATTTATATCATGTGATTTTTTTTTAATCATACACATTGTACATTTTTTAAAAAATTGTCTAGTTTCATCTGTCACAGGTGGGTTTGATAGGAGTTGGTTAGCACATGCAATACATGTATATAATTTCCCCTCTAGAGGTTTTCTCTCTTTTTTAAACTACACTATAAATAATTTCACAAATGCTCAGATTTATCTTTAAATCCTTGCATAAATAAGCCTCCTTTAAGGTTGGAGACTAATGAATTAAATAGGCTCCACGCTGACCAGCTACACCCCTAAAACAATCGTATATACAGCAAGTATTTCTCTGTAGACCAACTACTTCTCTGTTTAAACTGGGCCTTTCATGTTTTTCCTTACTTTCTGTCATATAAAAACTGTTACAGTGATGGATATTCTAACAAAACATGGTGAACAGTTGAATAAATTACATTTGTGCATATGCAAGTAATCCCTGTGAGCCAAAAGGTCAGTTCTTTGAGCACTCAGTCTTCTTCCTACATCAGTGAGACAAGATATTACTTATATGGTCATCTCTGACTCCCAGCTCCAACCAAATACTGTTAAAACCTTCTGTTCACTGGAGTCTGAGAGTGTGCACCAAGTTCCAGTATAACATAAGTAAGCATCTTTTTGAACCATTATTCCACTTGAAAATAGTGCAAAAATAAAATGATTTATACTATTAATTAATTTAATATTATTAATGTAGGATTTTACAAATAGTGAGATCTTACATTACATTTTACTTTACTAAAGTCTGAGCACTTAAATGTTTGTTTGATGGTTCGTTTCTTGATCTGGCTCATCAATAAGAAACCTTCATGATTTCACTTCATTGCTTAAGTTTATACTTATGTGCAATATTTGCATAAACATTGTTATTCACTCACGCTATGAACAAAGACTGCCATATTCTGATGCAACAAAGGGACATTTTCGACTGCAAATGTAATTAGGCTGCTGTAGTTTCCTTAGAAATTGTATGCTTTTTACCTATTTTGTAACAAGATGACCTGCTACTACTGGAGACAATCAGTCATTAAAAATTCAGCGATATTCCCTGAAGCTATGTGGTAAGGTGAAAGCCAATATAAGAATTTTTTTTAATGTAAAACGATATAAAGACTGCATATTCATTAAGCACATTCAGGCTCAATCATATTATTCTACAGCATTCTAATTATAACGGCCTCGTACAAAAAGATAACAAACGTGATGGATGGTGTACAAGCAGCGTTTAATACACAGCAGCCACTTTTTTCATTGTTTTGGAGCTATAATTATTAGAAACAATAACAGGGAATAATTTAAGAGGTTCTTGTATTTTCAGCACAAAATACTGAATCGGGTGAGAATTTATCTCGGTGCCAGGAGCACAAGAGGGTGACAGATGACTGACGAATTATTTTTGGCTTGTTTATCTCCTATAATGAAGACTACATGGAGGCGAGAAGGGGGAGTATTTAGGAAAAAACACTGAACAGCCGGTCTTAGATAGTGTCTGTAATTATTTTAAACCAGTGTAACACAACAGCTTTGATAAAGCATAATAATGCGTAAAACGTGACACACTGAGTATAGTACTTAGAGCAGACAGTTTTAGTTGATAATGGCAGCTCATATTAGCTGAAGGCTCAGCTGATACCCTATCTGAGGCCTCAGTCACGCAGGCTTAGAGGCCGCTCGGAGACTCCCTGGCAACTGTTGGTCACCAGGGAAAAATGTGACTGGCGAATCTGCAACCTGCTTTGAAACCCACCTCCATCCCGACTCCTGACTAAATGAACTGACTGGAGGCATTACCTTGCCCTCCAATAACACTGTGAGGAGTCATTTTTGACCAGGACATGTCCTTCAATGCACATATTAAACAAATATGTAGGACTGCTTTCTTCCATTTGCGCAATATTTCTAAAATTAGAAACACCCTGTCTTGGAGTGACACTGAAAAATGACTTCATGTGTTTATTACATCTAGGCTGG